ATGTGGCTGGGTGCCAACCCATCCAATTTCCCCCCCTCTCAACACACACAAACACTAACACATCATGCAGAGGCACACATTTTTCCCACTTCTGACCCATCCTTAATTCTCAACTATCTCACTCCTCCAACACACATACACAAACACACTGACACACACAGGCCCACCGTTTTCCCCACCTCTGACCCACCCTTTAACCTAGCCAATTTCCCTATGCCACATACAAATACACTAAGGCACACACAGAAACACAACTTTGCCCTCTTCTGAGCTTTCCCTCTCCCCTATCCAATTCCTCCAATACACACACACAAACACACTAACAAACACAAAGAAATACATAGTTTTTCCCTCTGATCCACCCATTACCTATCCAGTTCTCTACCAAGGCATGTGTGCCTGCACAAAGACACACAGGCACACAAACAAAAACAGAATTATTTTTTTCCCCACTTCTCATCCTCATGCAATCCTCTATTCTTTAAAGCATCCCTGGAGCTGGGCATCCAAGCCTCCCCTCCCCTTTATTGCCTGGGGTCACCCCAGAAGGAGCCCCCCTGGACAGCCACACAGGAAGCCCTGTTTCTCTTCCTCTGCAGGGGGGGGGCTCCACCTAGGAATAGGAGACAGGAAGAGGGGTAACAGAAGAAATTTGGATTTTATCTTCACACTTAAAACAAACACCGGAAGTGGCAACCAGACCCTGCCAATGGGGGACAATGGCTGACCAAGATAGCTGTTGCCAAAAAAGGGAATCTGGGGTCCTGGAACTCAGAGCCCACGCCTGACTTTGCAACAGCGGTGGCTGCATTGTGTTGTGCATTTCTGCTCGGTCTTTGAAAAGTAGTGTGCAGCCCTCCGCTTCCAGAGTCAAGAAAAAGTGCAGAGAAGAGCAACTAAAATGATTAAGGGCCTGGAGACAAAAACATATGAAGAACGGTGGCAGGAACTGTGTTTGGCCAGTCTAGAGAAAAGAAGGACTTGGGGGGGGGGAACAGGATAGCAATATTCCAGTATTTGAGGGGCTGCCACAAAGAGGAGGGGGTCAATCTGTTGTCCAAAGCACCTCAAGGCAGGACAGGAAGCAAGGGATGGAAACTCATCAAGGAGAAAAACAATCTGGAACTAAGGAGAAACTTCCTAACAGGGAGAACAATTAACTTGTGGAACAGCTTGCCACCAGAGTTTGTGGGTGCTCCATCACTGGAGGCTTTTAAAAAGAAACTGGACAGCTATTTGTCTGAAATGGCATAGGATCTCCTGCTTGAGCAGGGGGTTGGACTAGAAACCTCCAGGGTCCCTTCCAGCTCTATTCTGATTGATTGATTGATTGATAGATTGACTGTGTCAGTTTCTTGTCTGCCCTTAAGCAATGCATGGACTTTTATTCTGTAAATGTCCGATTATGTCCCTCTATTTTCAAGACTAACTCCTGTAGGAGAGACCCCAAAGCACATTTTCGGTTCTTGATCCATATTCTGCTTTCTCCTCTCATCCTTCCCTCCTCGTGATTCACCGGCCTGACAGTGTTCCACGTGGATAATATACAGTATTAATATAGTCAAGGTAAGTCCTTGACTAACAAGTTTGTTTAGGGCAGTGGTTCTCAACCTTTTTAATGCCGCGACCCCCAACTGGTCGTAAGTCGAGGACTAAACTGGCCGTAAGTCGAGGACTAAACTGGCCATAAGTCGAGGACTACCCAACCGGTCGTAAGTCGAGGACTTTCCCTGCCCGGGAGCGCCGCACATGCGTGGTGCCGCCCCCTGCGCCGGCCGAGGCGTAGCTGGCAAGCAGCAGAGATGGAGCAGGCCGACCACCAGCTGGGCCACCAGCTGGCCCAGCCCAAGGGAGGTAAGGCACCCGCCGGAAAAGGGGAAACAAATGGCGGACAGCATTTCTTGGCGACCCCCGTGAAATGGTCAATCGACCCCAAATGGGGTCACGACCCATAGGTTGAGAACCGCTGGTTTAGGGACTGTTCAGAGTTGCAACGAAAACAAGTGACTGATGACCATTTGTTACGCTGACCGTTGCAGCATCCCCATGGTCATGTCATCAAAATTGCCTGCTTGCAAACTGAATCATATAATATTAATATTAATAATAATAATAATAGTAGTAGTAGTAATAATATGGAGTTTGGCTTGGACAAATGTGCCACACTTACTATCAAACAAGGAAAAGTAGTGAAAACTGAAGGAATCAAGATGCCCCACGAAAATAACATTAAGAGTCTGGATGAGGAAGAGTACTACAAATACTTGGGTATCCTTCAAGCTGACAACATCAAGCACACTGAAGTCAAGAAAAAGATTAGAGGTGAATACATCAAGAGAGTGAAGAAGATCTTAAAGTCCAAACTCAATGGAGGAAATACCATAAAGGCAATCAACACCTGGGTAATTCCAGTCATTAGGTACACAGCTGGAATAGTGGACTGGACTCAAGCAGAACTAAAAGCAATGGATAGGAAGACCAGAAAAATAATGACAATGAATCATGCCCTTCATCCACGCAGTGACATTGACAGACTTTATCTACCAAGGCAAATAGGTGGGCATGGAATGCTACAAGTACATCAGATGGTTGAAGAAGAAAAAATGGCTTTGGAAGAATATCTGAAGAACAATGATGAAGATGCACTGAAATTAGTATATCAGGAAGGCTTACTGACTACTGGAGAGACCAAAACTGGCCTACAAGAAAGACCAAATGAAGAACAGAATAGAGGCATGGGAAGACAAAGCACTACATGGCCAATACATGAAAAAAATAGCTGGGAAAGCAGATAATAACAAGACCTGGCAATGGCTAAGAGCAGGAAAATTGAAGAAAGAGACCGAGGGACTAATTCTGGCTACACAAGACCAAGCCTTAAGGACAAATGCATATAAAGTCAAAATTGAGAAGACAGCAACAGACAGTAAGTGCCGCCTATGCAAAGAAGCTGAAGAAACAGTGGACCACCTGGTAAGCTGTTGCAAGAAGATTGCACAGACTGACTACAAGCAGCGGCATGACAAAGTAGCAACAATGGTGCATTGGAAGATCTGCAAAAAATATCATTTGCCTGTAAGCAAAAACTGGTGGGATCATAAAATAGAGAAAGTCATAGAAAATGATAAAATTAAATGCTCTGGGACTTCAGAATTCAAACAGACAAGCACCTGCAACATAACACCCCAGACTTAACAAGTGTCGATAAGAAAGACAAAAAAGTCTGGAGAGTGGACGTGGCAGTGCCTGGAGATAGCAGAATAGAAGAGAAAGAACTGGAGAAGATAACAAAATACAAAGACCTACAAATAGAAATAGAAGACTGTGGCAAAAGCAAGCAAGGGTAGTACCAATAGTCATAGGCTCCTTGGGTGCAATCCCAAAACAACTGGAGCACCACTTGAACACCATTGGCATTGACAAATTTGCTATTAGTCAATTGCAAAAGGCGGCCTTACTAGGAACTGCTTCCATCCTGCGACGATAGCTGTAATACCATCAAACATCCATATCTGCCTATCCCAGGTCCTGGGTAAGGACTCGATAGGTAGACAAAATGCCAAATCCAGTCTGAACATCTGGCTGACTGTGCAGTGATCGACAATAGTAATAATAATAATAATAATGTTGGAAGGGGCCTTGGAGATCATCTAGTCCAACCCCCTGCTCAGGCAGGAAAGCCTATCCCATTTCAGACAAATGGCTGTCCAATCTCTTCTTAAAAACTTCCAGTGTTGGAGCATTCACCGCTTCTGGAGGCAGATTGTTCCACTGGCTAATTGTTCTGTCAGGAAATTTCTTCTTAGTTCCAGGTTGCTTCTCTCGTTGACGGTTGTATAAATTTTTGGGACTTTCTGACGCGCAAAGTCAACCAGTGGTACCCTTAACAACTGTGGCAAGCAAGGTTGCAAAACCACCGAGCACCAAGTCAGCACCGAGTCCTCCTCCTCCTCTTCTTCCTCCTCCTCCTTCTGGAGCCATGCAGAAGCCCAAATGTGGCTGGTTTCCACAGCCAAAAGGGGTTCGTTGGTGACTCACACCTTCCAGAATGCAACCAAAAAAGCTGGCAGAGCAACAGGATTCTAGGGGGGGGGTGGCACTGGGGTCTTGATGTGCCCCTCCCGGGATAAGGGAGGACGAGGACGAGGATGACCGTGGGGCCCTTGGTGCTCTCTGAGCTTGGTTGTTTTCTTGCAGACGTTTCATGACCCAAGGAGGGAACATCATCAGTGCTAGAAGGGAGGAGGAGGAGGAAGAATAACTGTGGGGTCCTTGGTGCTCCCTGAGCTTGCTGGTTTTCTTGCAGACCTTTCATGACCCAACTAGGTAACAACATCAGTGCTAAAAGGGAATGGAGTTTGGGAAAAGGAGGAGGAGGAGGAGGAGGAGGAGGAGGAGGACAGGAGGAGGGGGAGCAAGAGCAGAAGGAAGAGGAAGCCAGGGAGGAGGAGGGGAGGAGGGGCAGGAGGACGAAGAACAGAGGGAGAAGGGGGGAGGGGCAGGAGGAGGAGGAGGACTGTGGGGTCCTTGATGCTCCCTGAGCTTGCTGGTTTTCTTGCCGACGTTTCATGACCCAACGAGGTAGCATCATCAGTGCTACAAAGGAGGAGGAGGAGGAGGAAGAATGACTGTGGGGTCCTTGGTGCTCCCTGAGCTGGCTGGTTTTCTTGCAGACATTTCATGACCCAACGAGGTAGCATCATCAGTGCTACAAAGGAGGAGGAGGAATGACTGTGGGGTCCTTGGTGCTCCCTGAGCTTGCTGGTTTTCTTGCAGACGTTTCATGACCCAACTGGGGAACATCGTCAGCGGAAGAATGGAATGGGAATTGCAGAGAGGAGGAGGAGGACTGGGAGGGGGGAAGGGGGAGGAGGAGAAGGAGGAGGAGGGAGAGAAAAAAAAAGGAAGAGAAAAAAGAGAAAAAAAGGAGGAGGCGCTGCGAACTTCCAGCCTCCGAGCGGGGCGCGGCCAGTCCGGCTCCCGGGCCCGAAAGCGCCGGCGCGGATGCTCAGCTGAGCCGGGCTCGTGGGGCGGAGCGCTGGGGGGCTGGAGGCGGAGCGGGGCCGAGCCGAGCCGAACCCGGCCATGGGGCTGCTGAACTTCACCCGCGAGCCGGTGCCGGAGGCGGTCAGCGCCGACCTGCAACTACTCAACCAGCTGAGCGCGCAGGTGGCGGGGGGGGGGGAAAGGGCGCAGGGCTTGGGGGGCGCCTGGGGTCTCCGGGCGGGGAGGGAGCCCCTCGCCAGGGGGCCTCGGAGGGAGAGACCGGCTCCTCCGACCGGAGAGACCCCTCCTCCGCCTGCTTCAGTGGGAGAGATCCCGCTTTGGGGAGGGGTCCCCGGGGCTGCTTACCCATCTCCCGGAGGGAGGGGGGGGTCTGCCCTGACAGGCAGCCCTCCCCCACCCTCTGGTCAAGGAAGGGGTGCGGGCGTCGCCCAGCAGGGTGGGGGAGCTTCCCGGAGGACCGATGGGGGCTCCTTCCTTCCAGGGGGATCTTAGATCAGTGTTTCTCAACCTTGACCATTTTAAGGCATGTGGACTTCAACTCCCAGAATTCCACAGCCAGCAACGCTGGCTGTGGAATTCTGGGAGTTGAAGTCCACATGCCTTAAAATGGTCAAGGTTGAGAAACATTGTCTTAGATGGTCATTGGGGACCTGTCGGAAAAAAAGAATCTCCCCCCCCCCCTCGCCTCAGCTGGGGTTTAAGCAGCAAGCCATAGTTAAGCCAGGATGCCAGCTTCCTGATCATTTCGGCTAAGTGAAACCAGGCTGAAGTTACTGGGCCAGGCTGGCTGACACAGGAAGGCACTGTGCCAACAGGCAGAGGGTTGAGACATTTCCCTTACTCAGGGGTAGGCAATCTCAACTCTTTTAGGACTCGTGGACTTCAACTCCCAGAATTCCTAAGCCAGCATGGGGGAACTATGGCCCCCTCATGACTGGTGGACTTCAACTCCCAGAATTCCACAGCCAGCATGGGGGAACTATGGCCCCCTCATGACTCGTGGACTTCAACTCCCAGAATTCCTGAGACAGCATGGGGGAACTATGGCCCCCTCATGACTGGTGGACTTCAACTCCCAGAATTCCTGAGCCAGCATGGGGGAACTATGGCCCACTCATGACTCGTGGACTTCAACTCCCAGAATTCCTGAGACAGCATGGGGAACTATGGGCCCCTCATGACTCGTGGACTTCAACTCCCAGAATTCCTGAGCCAGTGTGGCTCATGTTTCCCCTCAGCATGGCTGACTCGGGAATTCTGGGAGTTGAAGTCCATGAGTCATAAAAGAGCCGAGGTTGCCTACCCCTGCTTTGGGGGCTCATATCAGGTGCAGCCAGACCTCTACCATGTTCTGCCAGGGGACTGAAGGGGTAGAGCAGGGGTCTTCAAACTTGGCCCTTTTATGACTTGTGGACTTCAACTCCCAGAACTCCTGAGCCAGCATGGGGGAACTATGGCCCCCTCATGACTCGTGGACTTCAACTCCCAGAATTCCTCAGCCAGCATGGGGGAACTATGGCCCCCTCATGACTCGTGGACTTCAACTCCCAGAATTCCTCAGCCAGCATGGGGGGAACTATGGCCCCCTCATGGCTCGTGGACTTCAACTCCCAGAATTCCTCAGCCAGCATGGGAATTCTGGGAGTTGAAGTCCACAAGTCATAAAAGGGCCAAGTTTGAAGACACCTTGGAGTACAAGGTAATATTTATTTGTTTGTTTATATCCCACCTATATTTTTTTTTACAAATAATTCAAGACAGCAAATATATCCAACACACTTTCCTCCTCCTATTTCCCCCTCAACAACAACCCTGTAAGGTGGGTTGGGCTGAGGGCAGGGGATTGGCTCAAAGTCACCCAGCCAGCTTTCATCCCTAAGGCAGGACTACAATTCAACGTCTCCTGGTGATTGGCCCAAAGTCACCCAGTCGGCTTTCATGCCTAAGGCGGGACTAGAACTCACCATCTCCTGGGGATTGGCCCAAAATCAAGTAGCCAGCTTTTATGCCTAAGGCAGGACTAGAACTCACCGTCTCCTGGTGATTGGCCCAAAGTCACCCAGTGGCTTTCATGACTAAGGCGGAACTAGAACTCATCGTCTCCTGGTGATTGGCCCAAAGTCACCCAGCCGGCTTTCATGCCTAAGGCGGGACTAGAACTCGCCGTCTCCTGGTGATTGGCCCAAAGTAACCCAGTGGCTTTCATGCCTAAGGCGGGACTAGAACTCTCCATCTCCTGGTGATTGGCCCAAAGTCACCCAGCCGGCTTTCATGCCTAAGGCCGGACTAGAACTCGCCGTCTCCTGGTGATTGGCCCAAAGTAACCCAGTGGCTTTCATGCCTAAGGTGGGACTAGAACTCTCCATCTCCTGGTGATTGGCCCAAAGTCACCCAGCCGGCTTTCATGCCTAAGGCGGGACTAGAACTCTCCATCTCCCGGTGATTGGTCCAAAGTCACCCAGAAGGCTAGCGTGGGACTTGAAGTTATGGCCTCGCATTTCTAGTCTGTCTGGGGAATTCTGGGAGTTGAAGTCCAGAGGTTGTGCAGTTGCCAGGTTTGGAGACCCCTGCACTCCCAGCCCAACTGTCTCCCTCTCTTTATGGGTTTGTCTGTTTATTAAATTTATAGGCTGCTTGTTTTGAGTGGGCAAGGAGAAGGGGAAGCAGGAGGCTCTTCCTGGCGGCTAACAGTCTTCCTCCTTTCCCCCCAGCAATTTTCTACACTCGTGGAGGTGCTTTTCCAGTTCTTAGGAGAACCAAAAGAGGTAATCCACTTATTGGGGGGGGCACGGGGGGGGGAGAAATTGAAAAGGGTGGATCCCCCCCCCTTGGCTGAAGCCCTGCTGTTTTTTTCAGTGGGAGCGAATGCAGCTTGTAGGCAATGTTGTAAATCAGTGTTTCTCAACCTTGACAATTTTAAGGCCTGTGGACTTCAACTCCCAGAATTCCACAGCCAGCAATGCTGGCTGTGGAATTCTGGGAGTTGAAGTCCACAGGCCTTAAAATTGTCAAGGTTGAGAAACACTGTTGTAAATGATTCTTCTCTATAACAAAGTGTTCAATAGTAGCGTGACAGGTAGTCCTCGCCTTACAACTACCATCGGAGCAGAATTTCAGTGGCTGAGCAAGGTGGTGGCTAAGTGAAACGTGCCCAATTTTACGACATTTTTGCCAGGATTTGTTAAGTGAATCCCTGCATTTGTTAAGTTAGTGACACGGTTGTTAAGTGAAGCTGGCTTCCCCCACATTGACTTTGCTTGTCAGAAGGTCCCAAAAGGAATTATATGATATATATGTGATTTGTGATATGTGCTATATATGATATATGATGTGATCACCTTTTGCAAATATATATATGTATATGTGTGCATATACATATATGTGTCTGTTTCTGTGTGTGTATATATGTATATATATATATATGTATGTTTCTGTGTGTGTATATATATATATATGTATATGTGTCTATATATGTATGTGTTTGTGTATATATATATATATATATGTATCTGCATGTGTCTTTATATATATGTGTGTGTGTGTATATGTGTGTGTTTCTCTGTATATGT